CCCCCAGCTTTATTACCGGGGACCCCCGCAGTCCCTCAGCCGTCCGGCGGCGGAGCAGCCAGCAGCCTGCACAGCGGGGAGTTCTCCAGCTGCCGGAAGGTCCTGGAGCCTGGAACGGACGGGAAAAGCCCCGTTAGATTCCCCGTTACCCCCAACCCCGTTCCCGGACCCCCCGCCCACCCCGGGGGTCCCTCTTACCGAGGCGCTCCGAGAGGCCCCGCAGGCAGCGCCGGGTCTCCTCGCTGAAGGCCGTCAGGAGCGCCCCTGCCTGGCACAGCTCGTCCAGCTATGGAAACACCGCCGGCAACGGCACCCAAGTGAGCCCAAAGTGACCCCAAATGCCCCAAACCCGCACGGTTTTGCCCCAGAAGATCAGGGCCGGACTCACCACGAGCTCCACGGAGCGCAGCACGGGGCCCTGCTCCAGGAGCAGGTGGGAGTAGTCGGGTTTGGAGCCCAGGACGGCGCTCTGGGAGCTGGGCAGGGCCGGGGGGGGCCCGGCGGGGTCGGCCTGGAGGGTCTCCAGGAGCCTGCGGGACCCCCGGGGGGGTTTGGGATGAGCAAAAAGGGCCCAAAATGGCCCAAAATGGCCCAGATTGGGGGGTTTGGTGTCCGGGGGGGGCAGCCCCTCCCTCACCTGGCGGCTTCCTGGGCACTGTCCTGGTGCTGCTGCAGGAGCTGGTCCCAGGCCCGGCGCTCGGCGGAGAACCTGCGGGGCACGGGGGGGGACAGGTGTGCCCAGGTATGCCCCAGGTGGGCCCAGGTGTGCCCTAGATGTGTGACCAGACGTGTGCCCCAGGTGTGCCCAGACATGTGCCCAGGTATGTGCCAGGTGTGCCCTCCATGCCCAGGGGTGACCCAGGTGTGTCCCAGATGTGTGCCCAGTTATGTGCCAGGTGTGTCCCAGATGTGTGCCCAGGTATGTGCCTGGTGTGCCCTCCATGCCCAGGTGTGTGCCCCAGATGTGTGCTCAGGTGTGCCCCAGGTGTGTGCAAGGTGTGTCCCAGGTGTTCCTTTGCACTCCAGGTGCTGTTCCCTCTACACTCCGAGAAAACACCCCCGGAATCCCCCCAGGAATAGCCTCCCCTCCCTTTGCTGGTGCAGGTGGGCCTTACCTGGTGCAGGTGAGCCTTACCTGGTGCAGGTGGGCCTTACCTGGTGCAGGTGAGCCCTTACCTGGCCATGTGCTGCTTCACCTGGGCCACGGCTTCATCCAGGGCCGAGTCCAGGGAATTCCTGGAGCACAGGGGGAGAGTTGGCTCCATGTCAGGAGGATTTTCCCTAAAATCCAACCCGATCCTGCCCCCAGGATGAGCCCTCACCCCTCGGGATCCTCCACACAGCCCCGGAGGGTCCCGTCCTGGTCCAGCCTCTGCACCAACCGCTCCAGCTCCGCCGACACCGCCTGCACTGGGGGGGAAACCAGGGAACAACCGGGATCAAACCCCCCTCTGGAAAACCAGCACAGCCAGGAACCCCCCGGGCCCTGCCCTGAGCCCCCCCAGAAGCCATTCCAAGCTCTCGATTCCGTTGGTTTTAAGGGATTAAGGAAGGAATAACCAACCCCCCGAGGTCGTCGCCTGTCTCGGCGCCTCCGTTCGTGGTCGTTTCCTGCTCTGGAAAAAACTTAATTCCCAAAATTTTTGGGGCGTCCACCCCTTCCAGGAGTCAGATGATCTTAACTGTGAGGGGATCCCAGGGAAGGATCCCTGTTTTTAAGTCTGAAGTGACCCTTTCTGGTGCAGCAGTCCCAGCTCACCCTTGGCAGCAAAAGCCTTGGGGCTGAATCCCTTCCTCCGCCTCAGGACCTGCTCGAGCTTCCGGGCAGTAAACTGGGGAAAAAAGGGGAGAAAACAGGGTTTGTCCAAGAAAAATAGGGAAGGTCAGCTTTTATCCCCATCTCCTGACAAAGGGAAGTCAGCTTTTATCCCCATTTATAATGAAGTTCGTGGGAGGAGAAAGGAATCCCCCCGTTTGAGGAGCCAGCGATGCAAACCCCACGTGCATTTGGGGGGAAAAAGGGAAAATAAATCATTCAAAAGAAAAAAAAAATACCTGGAAACAGGAGAGGATGAGCGTGAAGAGACGCTCGCTCTCGGGCAGGTCCAGGCTGATGGATTTGCTCAGCTCTGAAAAATCAGAATAAAGTTGGTTAGGAATGATTAAATTCACAGAAAAGGGTTGGGACGAGCTCAAAAAGTTCCCAAAAGCTGTCGTTGGACAGGAATGGCGGGTGCAGGATACGGAAGGAGCAGGGGAAAGGGAGCAAAATGGGAGAAAGAAAGGGAGAAAAGGGGGAAAGAGAAAGGGAGAAAAAAGGGGAAAAGAAAGGGAGAAAAAAGGGGGAAAGAAAGGGAGAAAAATGGGGAAAAAGAAAGGAAGAAAAAGGGGAAAAAGAAAGAGGAAAAGTCACATTTAAGGATCAGGACTTGGGGAATAAAAAAGCAGAAGCTGCAAAATCCTCCTGAGCAGAAGCCTCAGCGCAGCATCTCCACTGACCTCAGACCCCTGGGCCTCCCAGGCCACTTCCCAGGGGGATTTGGGCAGGTTTTAATCAGGAATAACCCAGTTATGAGGCCGTGGGGCACCCACCAGTGATGTCCTGGTGCACGGGGGGCAGGGACTTGCGGCGCTTGTTGCCCTTGAGGCTGGAGCGGCACCAGGAGCGACGTTTGCCCCGGGGGGTGGCGACGATGGGGGACAGACTGAAGGAATTCAGGCTCTGCTCCTGCTCGGGGCTGCTCCCCTTCCTCCGGGGGCTGCTCCTGAGGGGGATCGGCCTCAGCCTGGGGGTGCCCAGGGGTCTCTTCCTGGCGGACGCTCCAGGGGTCCCGCGGCGCTTCGGGCCCGCAGGTGGTTTCAGGAAGGGCTCAGCACCCGCCTTCTTTGCTCCAGGCTGGGGATCTGAGGGAAAAAGAGGCAAAATCAGCACATTAGAGGGGTAAAAAGTGACTGGGGGATGCTGGCGGGGGCCCTTCCTACTTGGGATTTCCAGGGTTCTGTGAGAGAGGAAAGGGTTTTCCCAAGGAGTCCAGAGGGCTGAACGTGTTCTTTGGGCTTTTATTTTTAACTGGGAGGGGCAGGAGAGTGAGGGGGGATGAGGGGACCGTGGGGAGGGAACAGGGGTGAGGGGAGATTAGGGAACAGGGGTGAGGGAGCAGGGCTGAGGGGGGATTAGGGAACAACAGTGAAGGGGAATGAGGGAACGGGGGTGAGTGGGATGAGGGAACAGGGGTGAGGGGGATGAGGGAACAACAGTGAAGGGGGATGAGGGCAATAGCACTGAGGGGCCCCGGGGGGGGGGGTCCCCACTTCGCAGCCCCCTATATCATCCAACCACCCCCTCCCCGCACTCCCACCCGGGCCCCCGAGCCGGCGCCCCCCTCCCTTCCCCCTCCTCTGACCCCGTTACCTGCCGCGGCCCCTCCGGGCTCTGGGCGGGCTCCGCCGGGGCAACAACGCTGAGGGGGAAAAACCGTTACGGGGCTGGAAGCGCGGCCGCCCCGCGGCTCCCCCCGGGCCGGGCCGGGCCGGGCCCCTGCAGCGCTCTCACCTCCCCGTCCGTCCCGCCCGGGGCCCTCGGGTTCGGAGGAGCGGCCGGGCCGGGTCCCGCCGCCGCCTCCGGGGGCTCCGCCATGGCGGGAACGCGCCGCCCGCCCTCAGCCGCGGCGCATGCGCGGAGCCGCCCCCCCCCCGGCGCCGGCCGCCCTCAGCCCGCGGCGCGTGCGCAGAGGTCGATTGGCGTCGCCCGCTCTCTCTGTGGCGCGTGCGCGGAGCCCGCTTCGAACTTCCCGCCTTTTTCCTCCCCTCACACCTTTCCCGCCTTTTTCCGCCCCTCACACCTTTCCCGCCTTTTTCCGCCCCTCACACCTTTCCCGCCCCTCCTGCCGTTCCCGCCTCACGCCCTTCCTGCCCCTCACGCCCTTCCCGCCCTTTCCCTCCCCTCACGCTCTTCCCGCCCCTTCCCACCCTTCCCACCTCACGCCATTCCCACCCCTCGTGCCTTTCTCACCCTTTTCCTGCCCTTCCTGCCCCTCACGCTCTTCCCACCTCACAAACCTCCGCCCCCCCCCCCCC